TTTCCGAAAGTGGTTTCCTTTTATTTCTAGCGTTTTACCGGGTTGAGTGAGTGAGAGTCGGAGGTTGCAAGCTGGAACTAGAGCTGGCTGTGGACAGAGTTGGTGCCTTTTGGTGTAGAGGTGTTGTGCCTGGAGGGAAAGGATTCAGCTTGCGAGGAGTACCGAAAAATGTTGTCCCTTTCTTTTGCTTTTGCTTTTGCTCTGATTTGGATCTTGATTCCGAGAGTGATTAGTTGTTGTTGTTGGCAATTAATGTTTGGTAGATCTCGATGTAGTATTTGATTTTTCTTTGATTCTTTTGTTGGGGAGTGAAACTAGGTTAGCAATAGTTGAATTGATAGCTGAAATCGAGAAGGAAACGGAAAGATACATAGGCATAAGTAAATTGATCAGATTCAATAACAAAACTTCGATTCACTCAATATTTTTGTTTGTTTGTGAGCTTTGAGAGCGAATACTCATCTGTTCTGGATTACAGTTATCCCGTTATCGATAGCATTCAAGGCACTCACACACACACATATACGCACACACACAATGGCACATCAATTGTCTATCGAGAGTGTTTTTTTGCTTTCCTGTTCTGTTCTGTTCTGTTCATTTCTTTTTTTTTTTTTTTTTTTTTTTTTTTTTTGTTGAGTGCCAGGGGATTACATAAACCTTGATTTCTGCCTTTCCTCTTTCCTCCGGGGCAGGGACACGTTGATTAATTAAGATTGCCCCATGAGCACCAGCACTTTGCTTCCCATGCGTCCACACAGTAACCCACTGCACCCACCCGTTGTGTTGCACTGCGGGCAAGGAGGGGGCGGAGAGGGGCCCCAGAATGAAATCAATCTGGGACTTGCATTCAATTCAAAGGTTAAATGGATTTCTGCCTTGTCAAGGGCCTCCGCCCCATCACCACCCCGAACGATTGTTGTTCGTTAATTGAAAGTCGTTTCGTTTCGTTGTTTGCAACATTATGTTGCACAACGTATGAATGCTTCTTGCTACCCCTCCGCACACCCACAGAGAGAGACACGTGTATGCCATAGATACCCATATATGGATATATGTAGATATATGGGCTGCCTATATATGCACTTTTTGATGGCACACAAATCGATTTTTTGTTTCGCACACTCTCATGCACACACACACATACAGTCGCGTGTTTGAGTCAGCTTTCCTTTAATGTTTTCCCCGTTATTTTTGCTGTTGTTTCTGCTTTTTTCTTTGCTTTTTTGTATATTTTTTTTTTGCAATTGTTTACGCTTTGACAAACAAACTCACACACACACACGCAAGTGAGTAGGCATACTCACACACTTGTGGTATTTGGCATATTTGTGTGTGTGTGTGTGTGTGTGTGTATAGGTCGCTGAGTCGGCAGGACAAATGAGCGCAACAGTAAAAAAAAAAACGAGTGGGCTGGATCGGGGGGAGCCGCAGGGAGCCACACAGGAAAGTGAAAAGCAAATCGTTGCCATACTTTAAATTTAATTCCCGCAAAACAAACATCGCTGAGAGGGGAGCGAGAGGAGAGAGAGCTTACACATGGCGCCTGACCGACGACGGACCTACCCCCCTTACCCCCACCCATACTCCAGCCCAGTGGGTGAGGGGGTGATAATGACAGTGTGCCGTACTCCCACCCCCCCCCCCCCCCCCCCCCATCCGCCACCACCTCTTCTAATGATGATTAAAATGCCACCGTTGGGGGGAGTGAGAGTGAGTGAGTGTGCGGGAGAGGAAGACGAAGACGATGAGAACGAGGGAGAGAGAGAGAGAAGGGGAGTAGGATGCTGCTGCTCAAATCTGTGTATGTATATATGTGTACGTAAGCATATCCCTCTCGCTCTCACTTGACTCCCTCCCCCTCCCCATGCGACACTTACTCACTGTACGTGTGTGCGTATAGATAACCTCGATTTACAGATTTTTTTTACACACACGAGCATAGGGGTACCGTTAGTACCTTTACTGATTTCTTGCTTGTTGCTACTCACATATTTGTTGTTTGTTTAAACTACATCTCTCCTCTCCGCGCACGTTGCCCGCTGCACTCACACTTGCCACTCACACATCTAGAAGTAGAATATGCACTTCCACAAAAAAAAGAGTAACGATAATAACGAATGTTATTTCCTTTCGCTTTCTTTCGAGTGGTGGACGATTGGTGAGGGGAACGCACTTTGGCAGCCTTTTCTTTTGCTCTAGTCTGTTCTACAGCATCTATCTGTGTGGCCCGGGGGGCCCGGGGGCGGAAGGTGTTACTTCACAGAGAGAAAGAAACTAACAAAAAATTGAATCAAAATTCCTGTCAATTGATTTTCTTCACACACACACACGCACAAACAAATATCGAGTGAGCGAATCGCGCGCGCCGTTAACGGTGCTTATTCTGAAGCTTTTCTATCGCCGTTTATTTCTAGTTTCTTTAGTTCTCAGTGCGAGATTACAGGGGATCTCCGTGCAAGAGAGACAACAAAAAATAAGCTTCTGGTTAGCTGGTCAGTTGGCTACTGTGAGGCTGGTGCCAATTCTGCTGCTGCTGCTGCTGCCTCTGCTGCTGCTACTTCTGGCAGAGTGTGTGCTGCCAGTGCGAAGGAATTTGCACCTCTTCTGCCCAGAGAGTGCGACCGTGAGAGCGCGCGCGAGAGAGACACACAGAGGGGATGCTCACTAGGACGAGGACAGGACAGGACACACTCCTATCGCACTCCCTCGCACCCACACTCACAGACACACACACACACACACACACTATCCCTAAATGGCACAGGAACAGGCACACACAGACCAGCCGTATGGACTGGCTGATCCTCTGGAATTCCAATTGGCCAATTGCTAATGCGCCATACTTCACGGCAGCGAAAATTGGATTAAATTAAACCTTGCCTTAAATATAATCTCGTGAACTTATTCTGCACACGTGTGCTGGGACAGCAGCAGCAGAAGCTAACATGTGAGCGCTATGTAGTAGCGCCAGATTGTGGGGACCATTGCGCATGCTTACGCTAGGCGCCCCCAAAATTTCGCGTACAGGAAAGGAAAGCAGCAGCAGAGGGAACAGCGACGTGAGCAGAACGTAGCAAAAACAATGCAAAATGTTTTGCGCGCGCGGTCACATGACACGAACACACACTCACACACACACACACACACACAGAACTGTAAAATTTGTTGAGGCAGCGCAGGAGCAGAACCAGCAGCAGAGGCAGCACCACAGCACAAGAACACACACACTCCTTCTCTCACTCTGCCCCACTACTTGGACCCAACCATGCTCAAATTACAGCTAGTTTCTGGACATTTACACAATTTACTGTTGCGAAACATCTGGAGACAGTTTAGAGCAGGGACGTCTTTGACTTGCAATTTTCTCTTAAATTGGAAGTTTTTTTATTTTGTTTTTATAGCCAAATGGATGTTTCTTGAGAGGGTTTTTCTCCTAGCTACGGGGACACGCGTCTGGACGCTCTTCACCGAAAACTGAACTAAATGGTTGGGAAATTGGTTTCCGCGCAGTTTCCCCCACGTGTATGTATATGGTACATATACACACACACATCCTTCCTGGTGGTTATGCAAAGCAGCAGCAAAGAGTTTAAGGGTTGTCACCGCTGGCTTTGATTTCTAGGCCTAGATTTAGGCACTGCTTGGCAACCCTAGGAATCGATACTTGTTGTGGGTGGAGTGCGTGTGTGTGTGTGAGTGCGAGTATGAAGACGGAAGACGGGGTATATCTGTTTAAAGAAGGGTGGAAGGGGGTGTACGTACCCGTACATACTAAAAAATGTAATCTGCTAAAATGTAAATACACCCCACCTACAAACCCATACATATATTCGAGTGTATATGTAAATATGTATGTTGGTGGAAATTTGCATTGAAATTGAAATGAGTTATGCCTGGAAATGTGCTAAATGTCCTTTAAGCGAGCACGCACTCACACGCAAACACACAAACTAACGGGGGCGGCAGCCAGGCACCAGGACGACGACGCCATTATCAATAACTCAGCAAAGTATGCAATAAAAGGAACAACGCGCGCAGAAAAGCTCTTGCGTCATATGAATAATGTACATAATCTTCCCCAATCTCCACTAATAAGAAACTTGTTGGGCACCAGAGAGCGCGTATAACGATAAAGATATACATTATATGCACATACACAGAGAGTAGGGGTCCACACACATATAAATAACAGCCAGCTCTTGTTTGATAAGCGGTGGCAAATGAGAGTGCATGTGGCTGTGTGTAGTGTAGCGTAGTGTAATGTCAACGTCAAAGATTTACTCTTCTACTCTAGTTTTAGTGATTCATCTGAAGGAGTGGGCTAGGGTTAGCCAGGGCATGGCCCGGCTTGAAGAGTTGCTTCGCTCAATACGCAAATGCAAACATGTTGTCATACTTTCACACACACCAGCACTCACACTACCATATGCACGACGTACGTATTGCGTACAATTATAGTCAGCAAAAAAACAATAGAATTTGCATATGCACATTAAAAAAACAAACCCAATATAACATCATCGTCAGCAAAATATCATCAGCACCAACAACAAAAGAAGAGCACATCCAACACCTACACACCCCTCTGAAGGTGACCACCCTAGTCCACTACACAACCGACCGACTGTCGCACAGCGCCCACCTGTTTCATGGCGAATTCCTTCCTCCGTAGGTGGCCGTGCTGGACAGACAGGTTGTCGTTGACGCTCGTCACGCTTAACCAATTAGTTAATGCATTGCTCTGCAATTGCTATTGGCCACGATGCCCGAGATAAACAAAAAAACAAAGGCGAAAATCCGTTCGCAAAACGCGCAGAAAACAGACACGACAGTATTGTTATTAGCTTTAGTTAAGTGTGGCCATATGTTCCAAAATATCGATATATCTGTATTTTTTTGATCATACATTTTTAAGTAATATTGGTTATGTAAAAATAATTTTGTGAGATATATGATATTTGAAGAAATTGACGATGTAGAGGTCGAGAAGATGCCTTCAAATAATATTTCTACGTTACACGTTATTTTTACATGAATTCTACAAGGTGTGTTAGCACAACGAGGTTGCGTCTATCAACATAATTTTATCAGCTTATCGATAAAGCTGTACCTTTGATAGCAACGCGATATTCTCCGACTGATTTCTTTGGCCTCACGAACAAATGATTTTGATGCAAACCACGAATTGACAGGTACGGATAGCAATATCTCACTCTGACACGCATTTTGCCATTTCTATGTCGCAAAATATTGAAGATATTAAAACATCGATAGGAAAGTGTAAAACTATCGGGCTAGACTGCTGTAAATCATCCGTCAGCTGGCTGATATAAATTCAAACTGGACTTCCATAAATAATCCGTTGCGGCTTATCAACGCAGATTTACACAGACCTTCCGCCCTAACAGGCGACATGTATTCACGGGAACATTTGGAATGGACACAACAACACGCACATGCAATATTTAACGATAATAAATAAAAAATTGTCTAGTTGATGCGATTAAAGTGCTCTTCGGGGCGTCAGGAAGGTGTGGAGAGGCTCTGCCGTCTCAACTGCACGTCAAGAAGTGGCTCTCGCCAGCCAGATTTCTGGCAGTTTTGGTGCAGAGCCTCCAGCCGCCGCGAGGTCTCCCCATGGTCTAGAGGCTCGTCCTCCCTGACCGCCTCCCTGACAGATTCGCAGAGGATGTTGGTTATCTCCTCCTGCAGGGCCCGCTGCAGCAGCTCGGGCTCATCCTGCTCGATGTGGCGCCTCACACAGGTCACCAGCTCAGTGAGGTGTTCGTCAACGGCACCGGGAAACAGTTTCTCCATGGCTAGGGCCAAGTTAAAGAGGTAATCTCGATTGGGGCCGCTGGGTCCGGCAGAGGTGAAGATTTGCCTGGCTATGCACGGCACTTGCCACACGTCGCCGGCATAGGAGTCGTTGGCTTGCGTCGCCACATACATGATCACCTGGATGGGATTCGTGGCGGATAGATACTCGTGAAACTCCAGACTGCAGCGCTCGTAGCCGTTCTTCTCGCGGTAGTCCAAGTGATTCAGCACCGCATCCTTCTGGGCGGCAGCAATGCGGTAGGCTACGCCGTAGACCCGATCCTCAGCGGGATCGCCAGGCAGCAAGGTCACTACCCGCCCCGGCTTGTCGGGCATGCCCCGGTGGTCGATGCTGTGCTGGTAGAAGCGCCTTTTGAATCCCCATACAAAGCCGCGCCGGCGGTCGATATAGGGAAAGTCCGCCTTCCACACCAGCGACCCGTAGCCGAAGATCCACACATCATCGTCCGAAGGCGCAATGGCTACATTCTGGTTACTAGACGCTAAATCGAAGCTGTGAAGCTGTGCTGTGGCGGCGGGATATGTACTTGTATTTGGTCCTTCTGGCGTGATCAGGTCTGCGAAAAAGGCCCGGAAGATCTCGCCGGCAACGCCTGACAGCTGGGTGCGAGTAAGGCTACGGTGTAGCCGTAAGCTAAGAAAGCACAACATCTCCAACCGCTGTCGGCAAAAAAAACACGGCAACACGGTTCAGCTATATATACACTCCATAAATCCAGAGGCAGATAGAATCGGTCTCGTCTCTACCAAAACTTACCAATTAAATAAATTTTTGGCAGCATCGGCGGCAGTGTGACCGCGGATTTATAGATACAAAAAACGGTCTGACCCTCTAAAATATATCGAAATATAAGTCACAGTTTCATAATATACCAAAAATATACTGACGAACTATTTGTATTCATATTCTATCATATTCCTCAATTTTGATATTGCGTTAAATATAACTAGCTAGCTAAGACCCTCAGCACTGAAAGTATAGTTTCACGCGACAATCTAGTCCATTTGATACAAATGTGGTTAATTTTAAGAACTCATCATTATTGCATTGTTAATAAAATAAGGTTTAGGCAAACGGTTTTCGATGGTGATCACGAATACTAATCCGATTGCTCCAAATGGCATTTCTACACGATTTCTACATTGGTGCATTAGACAAGGCGGTGCGTCGATAACGCGTTTTAAAAATTAGTGGAAAATACTATGAAAAGTATACAAATATGTAAGGTGAATATGCAATATTCAAAAAGTGTTCTAATTTTCTTTTGAAATCACATTAATTGGTGCGCCCGTTATCATGTCCGCAGGATTTCTCCGTTTTCAAAACGAAATGAAAAGTAATCGCGTTTTTATACAAGAAAAGCAATTCTTATTTGCCAAACGAAAAAAAAAAAGTTTTGATGCATTAACATAAACTAGATTGTGCCTTGCTTATAAATAATTTTCTTAAATCCAACTTCAAACTTGACACGGAAGTAGTTGTTCAGGGCAACAACACTTTTCTTTTTCGTGCAAACAGTTGACACAGCCCGATTTGGTTATTGAAACGTTGGCAAAAAAAAATGTTTGCGCATAACAGCATAAATGTGTGCGTAACAGCACAGACTGTTCTTGTAACTGCGCGTAACAGAATATCGGTTTAAGGACAGCTGTTCCCCAGCACATGCAATTCAAAATGTAAGTGCAACCAAGGCCTATATTCTGCATTCATTGGAACCTGGGATGACAAACACTTTCTCAATTCTATTCTCCCCTAGGTTATGCAGAAATAAATATGCCTCAATACTGTATTAAGATAATTAAGTATTTCTACTATATTAAGAGATGAAAGGCCAGGTCAAAAAAGGTTCGTCAAAATCACAGTTCTGAGCATCAATTCGGTGGCACTGTGCTATATACATATATATTTGAAAATGCTTTTAGCACAACTCAATATTTGCGATGGCACACAGTCAGTGTTGGCTCGTTCATGTAGGTGCTGTAAGGCGCAACATAGGCCGTGCTGTTACGTGCAATGATTCCATTTGAAGCGCGCTGTTAGACACAGCTGTCACCGATACCATTTCTCTGTTGCCATTTCACTCGCACTTACAGCATTGGGCTGCCACAGCAACAACACCTGACTGAGGGTGTAAACAAACCAGATTTTAAATTCAAACTACCTTTGCGAAGCCCCCGCCACCCCAACTACGTAGCAGAATGTCCGGCAAGGACGATCGATCCAAGGAGTATGTAGTACGTAATCGCTGCTGGCACTGCTAACAAATTTTTACCCAAAACAGGAAGCGGCGGAACATGAAGCAATACACTCATCACAAACCGCAGCCGCAGCACCAGCAGCAGCGCCGTGGCACTACCACTACCACCTCCTCCAGCTCGCCCCAGACCACGGCGGTACGGAGCATCGTCGATGTGGCCGACTCCAGCGACGAGCCTCGCTTTGCCCGCAAGGGCAACTGGGCGTCCGGCGGCGGATCCCGGGGCTCTACACTGGCTCCGCAAATGAATCGCGACCTGCTGGACGTCCTGCCAAGCGACACGGACGACGTGGACCATCTTGGCATCGACACGGGAGCGCCCATCGATGAGAGCGCCCGCGCCCAACTGCGGGCCGGTGACTACAAGCAGTTGACGCAGTTTCCCAACCTGGGTGGCGGCCACTTCACCTTCGGTTCCGAGAAGGAGTGGACCAGCATTGCCGAAGGCCAGACGCAGCTGCACACCAAGGCGGCCAGCGGCTACTTCACGCTAAACCTTGTCCGCCTGAATGCCGGCCTCCAGACGATCCCTTTCTACAAGCGCATGGACTATCCCGCCTCCATGTTCACACGCCAGCAAATCGTGGCCCAGACGGAGGCGGCCGAGCGGGCAGAGACACTCTACCAGCAGCGTGTGCTGCGCGAGGCCAATGGCAGTGCCTCAAAGTCGCGTGCTGCCTCGGCCAAGTCCGCCAAGGTCCCAGCAAAACCGCAACCCGTTGTTACTGCACCTCCGGAGGGTGCCCTGGCAGATGATTTGGAGGAGCTGCTGGCCATGACAAATATTCAGCCGGATCCAAACACCATTGTCCCCGATCCTATAGCCATGCCCATGCCGATGCCCATGCCAATGGTTCAGTCGGCCACTCCAACGTCGGCGGCTAGCAAAAACGATGTAGAGAATTGGCTGGATAATGTCCTGGGCGAGTAAAAAATCGAATAATTGGTGCATATGAGTAGATATGCATGTATGTTCCCTCTATACAGGGAGCACAAATCTTTGGCTTGTTAAGTTTTCCTTTCAAAATAAAAATTACCGCGTCCCTAAATTTGGGATTGGCTTTTTAAACTCTCTTTTGAAGAAAAAAAGAAGAATGTCCAAAATAGAGATGCCATTTTTAGATTTAAGATGTAGATTCAGGAAATACGGTGTTTTGGAATGGCCCTAGGTGCCGCCTGCCTCCCCGTTCCCCCCACCATACTGAGTGTGCGTGGACTTGCACTTCGGTTGAAAAGTGAAAAGCCCGCGGCCGCTTATGTTATATTTCGATTAGATATTAAACAAAAAGGTGAGCCATTATGAAAATATTCAAATGATTGAAGAGTGAAACAAGATTAAACAGAATTGTTCTCGTTCGCCACCACGTCGGCGACCACCACTGGCTCTGGCGGCAGGTCGGGCAGTGGAAGTATTTCTGCCTCTGGGTCGAGGTCGCGCATGCGCTGATAAATAATTAGCAGATGCTCGTGCATCATGAGCATGAGGTCGCAGGCTGCCTCCAGCACCACAATGCGCTCCTCCATGTGACCATCCCCCTGCCCCATGCTGTGGCGTAGCTCGTTGACAATGCCGCTCAGCCAGCGGAACACGATGGAGGCATCGTCGTCCGGCAGCACGAACAGTGTGGGCGCCACACCGACATCGTTGCATATCTGCTCGGTGCTGCCGTACGGACCCACCACGAGCAGTGCAGAGACGACGCGCACAGTCAGATTGAGGCCGTGCAGATAGGACTCCACACAGACGCTGGGATTCACCAGGCTGATGGCCAGCTTCAGCTCAGAGTAGGGGCGCAGGCGGTGTGAGCCGGCGCCCATATCCGTAAGCCAGTCGAGCACGGCCCAGAGAAGGCAGTTGCACACCAACTGGGCCATGGTACACAAGGGGCTGGCATGGTGGCAGCAAAGGATCAGGTTTAGCATGTGGTCCGAATCCCTGATGTTGATCTTGTTCAAGATAACGGCGCACAGATCGTTCACCTATTGCCGATATAATAGTTCTGAAATTAGTTCTGAAAATCCATGCTGTCCATGTGCTGTCCACCACCACTTACGTGAGTCTCTTCGGTGCAGGCCATGTAGCTGAAGCAGTGCTGCAGGAACAGGGTGCGCTTCACATGGCTCTTGTGCAGCTCGGCGTGGCTCAGCATATACACCATTATCCCGGCCACTATCAGGGTGCCCAGAGGGCCGGCACCAAACGCGATCCTTTCGCCGTTCATCAATGAATTGAAACCGTCCATAATCTGGAACACCGGTGTGAGATCAGGCGTGGAATTCCGGCATCAGGCTCTACTTACCTCGTAGATGTTCTCAGTGGAAAACAGGAAGGGGCACAGATGACGAAGGGGCGACACCTCAATGGCCAAACGCAGCTCCTGCAGATCGAAACCCAGCGGACGGATGGCGTTGCAAAGCGAATCACTGGAAGAACAGAAAAAAAGACGCACCATCGGGCCATATCAGCGGGGAGTGGGGAGCGGGGCAGTGTTCGGCGGCGGAGGTGATGGATGCTCCAATGGCCAATGGCATTTTAATGAGCGAACCTTATGCCGTATACCAAACATTTTGACATGTTTTCAGCTTCGTATGGTGCGTGCATGCACGAGCGGGTCCACTATACATGCTGCCATATTGTGCTTCCGTTCGGTGAGTGTGGGAGTGAGGGGGATAACTGCACCCGTGTACGTGTAGTTGTAAATCTGTTTGTGTGTGTTTATTATAGTGAAAAGCGCATAGTGTGTGTGTTCAAGGAAATTGGTGAAAAGAAGAGGAGATAGGAAGGAAAGCCGTGTGTGGTGGTGTAGGTGTGTGTGTGTGCCGTTCTCAGCTTGTCCTTGTGCTGCTTTTCGTGGAAGACGACGACTGGCAAAATGCAAATGCACGCGCCATGTGCGCATTTTAGCATAAAAGTCACCTATCCTCTTCCTACGACTCCTCCTGCTGCCCTGCCCTCCTGCCTTCCGGCCCTCCTCCCCGCCTGCCTGAAGTTTCTTGCGTACTTGGGAAAATATCTCCTCATTATGCATTCATATTTTGCAATTACTTCGCACAAACGGTAAAAAGCGCAAATGAGCGAATGAGATGGCACTAGGTGCCATCCCGACATCCACCTTACTGTTAAGTCGCGCTGTCAACGAGAGTGTTCTGGTGCGTGTGTGAGAATCCCTCTTTCTCTCTGTGTGCTTTGCCTTTTCTTCTTGCCTTCCGCTTGTCTGTGTTTTGCTGTTAGCGTTACCGTTACCGTTACCGTTACCGCTACCCTTTGCCGAGGAGAGTCGTTTGTTTTTGAGAGAACAAAACCATCTGACTTTTTTACTACATATGTATGTATGTACATTTTTGTGGAGAAACCCATTTTTTTACAATAATGAGTTCTAAATGTTTTTTGTCGTAACACAGAAAAAAGAGATCATAATGAGGCCGCTTATATGTACAGACAGACGCATAGACAGAAATAATATGGGAACATCGGCATATCATTTGCCAATGATTCAATGAAATTCAATTATTAAAATC